CCTTTGGGGGCGGTGGGGCCCCACCGGGGCCGCTTCGGAGCCGGGCCCTGCTGGGGCGGGGCCACGAGTGGGCGGGGCCTGTGGGGGAGGTGGGGCTGCCTCGGGGCAGGATTGTAGGCGGGCCCTGCTGGGGCGGGCCCTGCGGCAGGTGGGCGGGGCTGTTCGTGGACGCGGCCTCGGAAAGGTGACGCGGGTCGGTGGGCGGGGCCTCCTGGAATGCGGCAGGACTGCGGCTGCGAGCAGGGATCATCACCTGTGCGTGGTCTCAGAGACCTGGGAGAGGTTGGCCATTAGGGAGATATCCTTCTAGCACTTTCCAAAGCCGCTGCGCAGTGAAATGAAGGTTTATTCCAAGGACGGGACGTCCCTTCGCAAGAGAACCACATGGGTAGAACCCAAGATTGAGGGCAACCGTGGGCACCAGGAGGGTGGACGTTAGTTCTGTCTGAGCGGAGGGATGGGATGGAGAGCGGAGAGCACGGGGCGCGCTTTGCTTTAGAAACACCGCCCGAGAGTTTGTCGCACCTGCAGCTGCAGCCCTAAGGCCTCAGGACAGACCGGGTCCTGGCTGCAGCCCTGCGACACCTGCCGCCTGTTTCTGGCTCCACCCACCGGGCCGCCCTCCTTCCCTTTGCAGCCAGGCCGAGTGGGAGCATCTCCTGGGTAACTGCAGTGGCTTCTTCTTCTATGGGATGGAGAGCTTCCTGTCCCACATAATGGTGGAAAGGTTGGCTGCCATGAACCTAGAAGGTGAGACAGCCCTCCGTGCTCCCGAAGCCTGACACTCTGCCAGGACCCCAGCGGTCGAGATGAGTCTGCACAGGGGCAGAGCAGGGTCCCTGTGTCTCCATCGGGCATGACTGTCTGAGGAAGGGCTCCGAGGGCTGGGGCCTGCCTAGAAGCACAGCAGGGCTCTGGGGGAAGCCCCTCTGCCCTCCCCCTCCTGCCAGTTCAGAGTTCTGGACCTGGCAGGCCCAGCCAGAGTCAGGAGCTGGGGGGTCAGCCCCCCCGGGGCTGTGCCTGCAGAGTCCAGGAGGAGGGGGGTGGGCATTCCCGGAACCCACTGATCATGGCCCCCACCACTCCTTCTAGCATAAACGTGGGCACTCTGGGCCTTGTGTGCCCTCTGACCGTCCACTGGGGACTTCTGAGTGGGTGGTCTGGCTCACCCTTGAGTCACCTTCTCTTCAGTCACAGCATAGTCACTAGGAGAGCTTTTTCGGGGACCCCTCGGAGATGCCCTCTAGATGACCCCCTGATGGCAGCACGTGGACACTTGTCCCAGGGTCACTGCCCGCCTGCCCCACACACCTGGTGCTTGTCTCCTTCCCAGCCCCTTGGAGATGGGGGTGAGGCCAACACCCCACCCCTTCCCAGAAGTCTGTCCCCTGGCAGAGTCCTTGCGCCAAAGGGACAGTGGAAACAAGGCCTTTCTGAAACTTAATTCCAAGCCTTCTCAGGCGAGATGGTGTGTGAAGTCATCAGGTGCCCCTGGGGCTCCCGATTCCCGACCAAGGCTTGTCCACACCCTCTGGAGGTCCTGCCTGCCCCTGGGGACAGCCCCCTAAACGCCCTCAGCCAGGTCACTGTAGGGGGTGGGGGGTCCACTTCTGTCCGTGGGGCTCCCTGCACGTCCACAGCCAGGTGTCACACTTCAGACACTGGCCCCTGTTTCAGTGGGCCCGAGGCCACGGCGAGTGACTGTCAACATGTGAGACACCCCTTCCCACCACGCCTCCCACAGCAAGCCTGGAGCCGAGAGCCTCCACTGAGCCGGGGGGGCCTGGGCAGACCCCTCGGGGCGCGCCCCGCCCTCCCTGCCGCCCTGCGCCCGCCCGCTTGCGCCAGGCGCCTGTGGAAGGTGTGGGGTTCCCAAAGCAAATAATGTTCCCACGAGCGCGGGTAGCCAGGGGGCCTTGGGCGAGGCCTGCAGACGTCAGGTCCCAGCTTGGGACAGGCCGCCGGCCGGGCTGCAGCGCTGAGAGCCGCCCCCTGGCCCCGCAGCATGCCGGATGATGGTCCTGCTGGGCCTGACGCGGTCGTACGAGAGCCTGTGGCGGCACACGGAGCACTCGGAGAACAAGAGGTACCTGACGCCCCCCTGCACCGGCAGCCTCGCCCCTCCCCCTAACGGGGGGGCTCCTGGGGGAGGGGCAGGGGCTGTGGAGGGAAGGCAGAGACCCTGAGGGAGCCAGGGCTCCACCATCTGTCCCCGAACCCTTCCCTGGAAAAGTCTGGTGGGGACGCTGTGGAGGCACAGGCCCCGGGGACAGAGAACCGGAAGCTGGGAGGGCTGGGAGCTCTCCACAAGGCCTGCAGGGCCCCCGCAGATGACATTTAATCCGCTGGGGCTGGAGGGCATTCTCGATTCTTCCAAGAACTTGGAGAGCTGTCCATCCAAACTCGCATGTCCATACTTGGTGCTATTTGGGCTGCGCACTGGGGATGGCTCAGGCGGTCACATCGGATCGTGGTCCCCCCGCAGTGTGGCCCAGCTGTCCCTGGAGAAGCCCATCGAGACTGCCATCCTTCTGAGTCTGGTGGGTGTCGGGAGCATCCTGGCAAACCAGTGGCCGACCTTCCTGCAGGACAACGCGCTGCGGGCCAGCGTCCTGTGGGAAAGTGAGTGGGTGCGGCTGCCCCAGGCTGCCACCACCCCGAGGGCCCCCCGGGGGCCTGCCAGTGGGGCCCCCGGCCAGTCTGAGGGATGTTTCTTTCCTAGATCTGTTGGCAGTTGGCAGGCCGATCGGGAGAGCCGTCCATCTCCTTCGGAAGACGGGAGCTGGTCACACGAATAACCATGGCAACAAGCTGTTCCTCGTCCCTGCCCATCCTCTGCCAGGCAGGGCTGCCTCCCCGCCCGCGTCCCCGCCCGCGTCCCCGCCCGCGTCCCCGCAGGCCAGCGTGTCCACCTCCTGGCTCCACACACGCGGACAGAACGGCAGTGTCAGGGGCGCCTAAATCCGTAGGGGAAACATCCTGGGCATTAGAAGTGCTCATCGGTCTTAGAACAGTTGAAGTGACACAAGCTCTGAAAGCCCAGGTGTGCTTTCTGAGCAGGGGGACCCAGCACTTGGTTCTTCAGAGCAGACGGACACCCCTTGGCGTCCTCACACGGGGCGCTGGGGCTGAGAACCTGAAGCCCGACAGCAGCCGGTAGCTGCAGCAGCACACTAACGGAACAACCCACCGTAACTAAGCGGTTTACCCAGGGTGACTTACAATGGAGTCTGCAAACACACAACACAAAAGGTTACACGGTCCACAGTTGCGAACAATAAGTGCTTGTTGAATGAATGAATGAGGGAGGGCCTGGTGTCAGCAGGTGCACGAAGGTAGAGAGCGTCTAGAAAGAGGCAGTGGCGGGCGGAGCTGCCCGTCCGCTTTGGGGGCAGCAGGAGAGGAAGCCGTGGCCCTGCGTGCTCTGTTGTCCCAAGATGATGTGCGTCGAAAGGAAGGGGCAGAGCCATGGTTGCCATGCAGCCCCCGCCCCCCAGTCAGTGGTGGCAGCCAGCTGGTGGCAGGAGGAGGCCCCGAGCTGGTGGAACTTTCTGGACGCCTCACACTCAGAGTGGGGGATGGTCTGGAGGGCACGGGTGGGCCTCGGCGTCCCGGGGATGGGCGTGTGGCAGGGTCCGTGCTCAGGGCCGCGTCTGGGGCAGTCAGGAGCCCCCTCGCCCACCGTGTGCCAGGAGCCCTGCTCGGCCCGGGCGTCCTGCCCCCGTGAGCTGTGCTCACCCCAGCGCTGTCCCGCTCTCTACAGATGAGCCTCTGAGGACCTTCAAGAACGAGCTGCCGTCCCCCCAGCCACAGCCCTGTGGCTCTGAGCAGCTCCTCATCACCCTCAACCCGGTCCTGTACGGGCTGCCACACCTGGCCATCGGGTGACTCCCCCGAGGACACGGATCTCGACGGCCCCTCCAAGGACCCATCGCCCACGCCCCCACCCGTAGGCTCCCCTCCTCCAGCTGCCCTGTTGCGAGCCCCAGTTCTGCACGGGGCCACGCTGGGCCCTCCTGATCCGGCCGGGTCTGGGGCTTCCTCCTTGCCCCACCCAGCATGCCCAGGGCCCGCTCCGAGGGGAGGGGAATATCTCTGGGGGCTCCGCAGGGGGCATGGGGTGAGGGGCACATCTGCAGCTGCGTGGACCCCCAGAACCTCCCCTGCCCTGTGCATCCCCGAGGGGCCCACGGTGGGGGAGCCGGCTGGACGTGGGCTTGGGTCTGGGATGAGGAGTGGCCTCCACCTCCCGCCGGTCTTCAGCTCCAGGGGGGCTCTGGAGGTCAGCCTCCCTGGGGGGAGGCTCACAGTCCTGGAGGCCCGCCGTGACCGCTGCGCCCTGGCCCCTGGGGGTAGATGTGCTTTAGTAAAAACAACTAAATCCGTGTCTGCGGTGCGGCGTCTGTGACCCCAGGTGCACAGCCTGGCTCGAGTCCCTGGAGGGGCGCTGGGTCTGGCACCATTCCAGGTCGGGGCCCAGCCAGTGTTTGCTGAGTGAATGCATGAATGAATGAGGTCAAGCCCGGAGGAGGCGAGCGGGAGGTGCCCATAGATGTGCCCTTGAGGCCGGGCCCCAGGAGGCAACCGGAGGCTCCGTGTGGAATAACCACGTGTGGCTGGAGGTGGGAAGTGGCTCTCGGGCGCCCCCAGCGTGGGACACACAGCAGCGGCGTCTCCACCAAAGCGGGCCTTCAGCCACACGCGGGGACAGCCCCGGAAGAAGCCACCGCCCCAGGCCTGGACACCCGGGCCAGAGCTGAGGGTGGCCCAGGAAGAATGGCGCCAGCCTGGCCTGCGTGGAGCCTCGGGTGGGAGGCTGGGTGGCAAGGACCCCGTGTCCCAGGGGTCTCCCAGGCTGTGGCCAAGGGACAAGGGAGAGCCAGCTCCAGGTCTCTCATTAGACGGTCCGTAGCTGGGGGGACGGGAAGGGTCAGTGTCTCCTCAGGCACTGGGTCCTGGCCAGCAGCCCCTCGGACATGCCAAGGCCAGGCCACAGAGTGTCCTTGTCCCGAGGAGCCCAGCAGCACGGCCCTGGGGGCCACCAGGAGCGCCCTCTCCAGGCCTCTGAGCACCAGCTCTGGGGCCACCTGGGAGCCAGAGGCAGCCACCCCAAGGCCAGAGGATGCCAGGCCTCAGGCCAGTGACCGCTGGTCCCCATGTGGGCTGAGGCCCAGGAGCTAAGCAGGCAGGACACGGTACGAGTACTCGGGGGTCCGTCCCCGGGCACACGCGAGGCGGGTGGGTGGCGCCCGAGTCCCGGCGCTGGTGGCAGGCCCCTGCCCAGCAGCACGGCCTCCCCGCTCTGGGCCACAGGGACCAGCACTGGCACCTCCTGGGCCGGAGCCTAGGACAGGCCACGTACTGAGGGTAGAGTGCGGAGACGGCCGCCGTGACGCATCAGCGCCTCCTGGAGCTGCTGGACTAAAAGCTGGCGACCCGGGAAACGCTAGGGAAGGTGCCGGCAGATGGGCGGCCGGTGGGACGGGGCAGCCCCTCGGGGCGGCGTGTCTCATGAACCCTGCACGCAGTCAGCGTGTGAGCAGCCGCCGCAGCCCTGGCGCGCGTCCCCGAGACACGGGCGGCCGTGCACACAGCGCGCGTGCCTGCTCACGGCAGCTTTTCTCCAAGAGAGCAAGACGCTCAGAAGCACCGTGTGTGCTTCGCCGTGAAGGTGAAACCAGCTCTGGGCACGTCCGTGTGGGGCTCAGATGAGGAGGGAGCGGCCGGCCCCTGCACGACTGAGGGGCGCTGTGTGGCGTGCAGGAGCCGGAGCCAACGAGGCCACGCGGCAAAGATGGCATCGATGCAGCGTTCTCACGGTGACCAAACCCCGGAGCGGAAGGACAGACCGCTGCTGCTGGGGACGGGCACACCAGTGCCGGGGGGGCCGGGGGGGGCTCCCGAAACCACCGCACAGAGCTGCACCCACAGCTGCCCCGCGCCTGCCCGCCTGGCCCAAGTGAGCGCGCGCCGCGGCCCGTGCACGGTGCCACGCCGGTGGGGGCCCCCGTCTCCCGCGTCAGAAGCCACCACGGGGGAAGCGGTGGGGACGGTGCCGTCGGCAACATGTTCACAACTTCCTGTGCATCATCATTCAACACAAAAAGTTTAAAAACAGCTTGTCTTCGATAGCATCGAAAGACGGTGATTCCCCTCTTTTTGTTTAATTTTTTTCCTTTCCTCAAACATAGACACATACTTCTTCCAGTTAACAAAAGAAGCTAACTAATGATCAGGGAATAAATTCAAATCAGAGCAGCCGTGGATATATGAGCCTCCTTCTAGAAAGATGTTGGCACGCGCCCAAACAACAAGAATAAAAGCCTCTGGAAATATTTCATCCGTGCAGCACCACATTTTTTACCTTCTAGTGTGTCTGCTCCCGTGAGAGAGATGGAGCGCGAGCACTGGTCTGGACATCGGAGGCTTTGAAATAACTTTCTGAATTATGCCCCAGCAACATAACAAATCACATTATCAATTAGCTTCTGTAGCGCCAGTGGCATCCCGTAATATATTCAAGCACAGAAAAATTGCAAAGGTGGAATTTATGTAACCCCAAAAACTGTACGGACAAAAAGGGTCACTTGGAATTTATTGGTGACAATAGAGGAACATAATTGGAGCGGCGGACAGCCCTCGAGGAAGCGTGACCACATCCGCTCGCTCTACGTCTCGGGGGCCCCGAGGCTCTGGGAGGCCGCCCTGCCCACGCCCTGCCTTCCCTGCACCCCGTGAGCCCCTCGTGGGGGGCGGGGTGGGAGCGGCCCGGAGCCCAGCGTGACCTTGAGCCGATGCCTCTGGCCGTGGGCCCGTCCTCTCGTCTGGGAAGCGCAGATCCGGGGGCTTGGCCGCCCGGGGCTGGGGCCCGACCTCTCCGCCCTCAGACCCGAGTGTCCCAGCCGGGCAGGCACACGGGGCCCTCACTGCAACACCGTGCAAACTCTGATGAGTTCTCTGCTTGCTTGTCAATCACCTTTCTAAAAGTTCCATTTATCAGTTTATGTCTTGAAAATAATGATTTCCGTGTTTTCAAAACAAGGACTTTTTCCCCCTAACAATATGCTCTCCTGTAGGGAATTTGGAGAATAAAAAGCGGAGGAAAAAGCACTCCCAGGCCACACAGTGCCCGGGGGACCGTCAGGTTTCTCTCCGCCTGCGTCCCCGCTCGCTCCCGCGTGCGGTCAGCACGGAGCTCAACACCACACACAATCTCTTTAACAAGAATTCTTGTTAAAGCACCTCACCCTCCTGCGGGCCGCTTGCCAACACGGAAGGCCCAGTGCGGCCGGACAGAGGGTCCTCTGCGCACGGAGGGTGGGCCCCGCGGGTGGGCGAGGCAGTATGGGGCCCCCACCCCACCGCGGAGGTGGGCTGGGGGCCCGGGTCAGCCGGGGCCAGCACCTGGCTGTGGCCAGGACCCCCGCAGGGCTCACGCCGTGGCACCTGTAAGGTGGGTCCCACAGCTCCGGGACCTGCGCCAACCTCATCCCCACGGGGCAGCGCTACCCAGGCACGGCCGTCCTCTGTCCCCGTCACACGCCCCATCCTGTCCCAGCGCCCGCCACCTCCGCCGCGTGACTGTGTGACAGACCCCCGCTCCTGGCCGGGGCTCCGGGACCCTGGGCCCCTCCCTGCGGCTGCCAGCCGGTCCTCCTGTTGTGGGAAGGCTGCGGTCCGGCGGCCGCCCGTCTGCCAGGGCCTTGGGCGCCGGGCCGGCCCTCCTCCGCCAGCAGTGAGTTCAGTCGCGGCCGCACGGGCCTCCCAGGTGGACGCAGATGAAGAAATGCGGCGGGTTAATAACGCTAAGACGTTCACAGACGCCTATGTGTAAATGTGTGTTAGGTTCCCTCATCCAGCGCCCGTCTCCAATAGTTTAATTTCTGTATTAAATAATTAAAACTCTATTTTCAATTGCTGTGAACAATTGTTTTCCTTAATGATCTTCCCAGAGGAGCCAGTAATTTTATATCTTGTAAAAATGATTAACTGGCGTCATTATCCCGTATCTCTGAAATATAACCGAGCAACTCCAGGGAAGGCCATTTGTATTCAATTAATGCTCCGTTGCATTAAGACGGACAATATTACTTCACGCCACACGCAACCCTGCCGTCCCCTCATTTTATTATGACGATGATGGAGATAGAAACAACCAGTTTAATTATCCCATTTCCAACAGAAATCAATTTTCAGCGTGTCTTCGCCCTCACACGGAGGAAGAGGCCGGCGGGGCCGTTCCGGGGAAGGGCGGGCCTGTCGTGGCTTCACCGGCGCCGCCCCGGCTCTGGGCCCGGACGGGTGCGCGTACGGGGTCGGCCCCCGTGAGGACGCGGGCCTGGACCCCTGGGGGGCCCAGCTCCCGCCTCCCTGAGCGTCACCCCTGGTCCCCCACCCCGTCCCCCAGGCCCCCAGCCTCACCCGGTGCCTGCTGCGGAGGCGGATTTATCGCCCCACGAGGCGGCTGCCTTTGTCAGGGTGATTCAAGGGACGCGCCCTGCCTCACCGCTCAATCACACCGCGCTGTTGGCCAGTATCATCTAATTGTTTGACATCTTTATCACAATTCATTGAGACCAGAGGGAGATGACTAGATTAATGCCCCTGTGCGCTTGGCTAATGGGCAGGCTGAGGCTGATGGGCCAAATTACAGGGGAGCTCTGAAATTTTCTTATTATAGAGTTTAATTCTTTGTGACAAGAGGCAGGAGATGGTGTTCAGATAATCAGGTGGCCGTGGCTGCCCTCCGCCCGGTGCCCTGAGAGCCGGGCATCCCCCACGCCCTCTCCGTTTCCTGGACTGGGGACATTGGAGGTGATGGGGACCCTCTGACCCGGGTGCTGGGGATGAAGGGCCATCGCCTGAGCTGTAGGCTCCCTGGGAGCCTCCTGCTTGAGATGAGGGTCTGTGGGGGAAGCGAGGAGAAGGGAGGCCGAGGGGAGGGGAGGCCCAGGGAAGGGGAGGCCGAGGGGGAGGTCGGGGAGCAGCTCCTGGCTTGCAGGTGAGATTTCTTCCACTCCGAGGCAATGTGTCCCGCGCCCGTTTGGATTTCCCGTCCCGTGAATCTCCTGTTCGTGATTTGTCCCTCTCCTCGGCTCACTGGGTTCCTTTTCTGCTATTACTGTCTAGTTCCCCACCGCCGGGCACTAATCTTTTCTGTCATAGACACTGAAACATCCTTCCCGGCTGTCCATTTGCCGTCGGGTCTCACTTACCGCGATGGGTTACGCCCTGCAAACATTTTACAGTTTTCTGGTGTCACGTGTGACTTTCATCTGTCATCATGGTCAAAACACCAGGCTCTGGATCCAGACTGCATGGAGTCAGACCTGCCTTTCCAAACAGCAGGGCTGGGGAGCACTCAACCCTGAGAAGGCTCAGGGG